AATTCCTAAATTATGGGATTTACACAATTTACATTGTTGTAATCCCTTAAATTCCATGATTTACACCATTTACTTTGCTGTAATTCCTTAAATTCTGTGATTTACACTATTTACATTGCTGTAATTTCTTAAATTGTGGGATGTAAACAATTTACATTTCTGTAATCCCTTAAATTCTGTGATCTACACATTTACATTGCTCTATTCCCTTAAATTATGGGATTTACACTATTTACATTGCTGAAATTCCTTAAATTCTGTGATTTGCAGAATTCACATTGTTGTAATTACTTAAATTGTTGATTTAAGTTGATTTAAATTGTTGATTTAAATTGATTTAATCCCACTTAAATTATGGGATTTACACAAGTTACATGGCTGGAATTCCTAAATTATGGAATTGACACAATTTACATTGCTGTAATTCCTTAAATTCTGTGATTTGCACAAGTTGTGTTGCTGGTAGTTCCTTAAATTGGGGCATTTACACAATTTAAATTGCTGTAATTCCTTAAAACCATCTGCAGGCTGCACAAGTAACCTGCTGTAAAAACAACCCAATTGATTAATTAGCTAAACTTTGCATTTGCCCTTTCAAAACCATTATTCAACCCCTAAATCACCTTTAAAAGCTCAGCTTAGATGGTTCAGTTTGGAACTAAAGCCAATATTTAGACCTGAGTGCCTTAAAATGAAGTGTTTAAAGGAATATTTAGCACAGGTGCCTGTGCTTGGGGTCTTCAGTGCTCCTGGATTGCTTTGGAATTTGAATAATCTGAATTCAGATCAATTACAGCATCAGGAGCCTTGGACAGCTCCTAAAATGCAGGGAGGAAAAGCAGCATTTTAACCTTTTCCTGGGATGTTTTTAACCTAAGGATCTTTAAATGCTATTTTTAAAATGCTCTTTTGAGATAGTTTGAAAATCTTAAGGCAAGCAAAACAGGAGCCATATATCTGGGAGGAGAAAAGGAATGAAGGAATTAAAGATCTGTGTGGAGTAATGTTAAGAAATATTAAATTATCACACTGCTCTGAGTAGAAACTGAATAGAAATAACTTTCCCTTCTCTTCTTCTGAGCACTTTTAGTCACATCTGTGATGTTTCCACTGTGGTATTAGCAGAACCATATGAAGGATGGGGTTTGTTAGGGGGGATTTGGGGATTTTTGTTTGTTTTTTTATTTTATTTTTCATTTTATTTTTTTCAATTTTTCAAAAAATATTAAAAATCCAACCTTCTTTAAAAAGTGCTCAGTCAAAGTGATTCAAGATCCATAAGGAATTCCTAAAAGTGCCTTCAGGGTGACAGGATTAATTGTGAGTGCTGTGAGATGGTGGAATTTGGTAAGGAAAACTTCGATCACCCTTTGAAAGCTTCCTAAAAGTTCAAATTTCCCTCTTCACAGCAGAATGTGTTTCCTACAGGTTTTGGCTTGACTCACTTGGATACCTGGGAGCAGAATTTAAACTGGAAATGTTTTCACTGTGTTATTTGCAAGGAGATCTCCTCATGATGGGCTGGCCCATCCCAACCTCTGCCGTGCTGGGATTCTGTGGGAGTAAAAGTGGAATTCCAGGGGATTTTTATCAGTGGGATTTTATGATTTACCTGTGAATTCTCTGCCATAAAAATGCACCACAAACCCCTCAGGGGCTCACATTCCCTGGCACTGTGCAGGATCTTCGATAAATGCAGAATTAACAAAAAGCCAAGCAAAAGAAGAAACCTCTCAAAGTCCCATGGAAATGCATTTTGTTGATTTATTTTTCATGTGAACAATCAATCCCACTTATCTCTCAGAATCTGGCTTCATTGGATAATGATTCTTTGCTGGTGTTTTCATCCCTGCGTTCCGAAGGAGTTTGTTTGAACACTTTATGTTTTCTACGATTTGCAAATTTTAACTTTAATTTCTCTTTTTGCTGATACTTTGTCTCTCCACTGAGCTGAGTTCTTTTAACATGTTATTATCACCATAAAATAACCACCCCCTCACCACTCCCCAGCCTAAAACC